GCAGAGAACCTTCCCTCCTCTAGAGTCCATTGTGCTCTCCCTTCTTCCTCATTTGCACCCCTGTCCCTCCCCCTCCTCCCCTCCCTGATGCCTCAGCTCTATGGTCAACTTGAAGGCTTGTGTTTGATCTTTTGTCTGGTTTCTCTGCATTCCATATTTAAGTCGGACCCTCTGGGATTTGTCTCTCTCCTTCTGGCTTATTTTGCTTAGCACAGTCCCTTCCAGTAACATCCATGTTGCTGCAAAGGGCGTGAGGTTATCTTTCTTGATCAGTGAGTAGTAGTTATTCTGTCTTAATGGCACATCTCCGTACCCGGATGGGGGAAATGACGTAGTTTCGCATCTAGCAAGCACTCAGTCCACGTTAGTGCCCGTATGCTTTGGAACCGTTTCTGAACTTCCTTGTAAAGTCCAGGTTTTACAACCAAGTTCAAATTCCAGCTTTGTGAACTTCCATGTGATCAGGGGAATAAGTGTTCAGTTTCACTCCATCACCCAACCTGAACCATGACTCAGTGATGACTGCAGTATCTGTGCGTCTCAGTGAGCCTCACTCTCACATGAGATAGGGGGAGTGATATGCACCTCCCAGGGTTAGGGGAACACACGCAGGGTCTGCTGCTCTCCTTACATGGCTTTTATTCAGGACTTATTAAGTCAGACGTAATAAATGTCTGGTTTCCTATCTCCATTGCACTCTGCATATTTCCATTTCAGTTTAAGTGACCAGAATAATTTTATTAGCCTCATGAGGATCTATTAGAGCATAAATTATAAAGGACTCCTGGTGTGTATGTGGGAGGGAGGGTGGTTCTCCCTGGTGGAGCAACAGGTTAAAGCACAGCACCATGAAGCTATCCATAGCCACTGCAGCACAAGTCCAATCCCTGGTCCCAGAGGTGACCCACATGGCACAGCCTACCTCTCCTGTCTCACCTGCTGCTCCCCTCAGCAGTGCATTTCAGTACATCTGCCTGTTCTGCTCCCTACTTTATCTCTGGTGAATCCTCTCACCTTCCTGCTCCTCTACCCCGGTTCTTGTATGTATCAAAATAAATAAATAAATTTTGGGAAGCCCACCAAAAAAAATAAGGCCTCTCACTTTGGGTAGCGTTTACAATCTTGGCTTTGCTATCCAGAATCAGGCTGAGTCTGTTCAAGCCAAGACTTCCTTCTGTGTAAAAAGTTCATAGTGTTGGCCCTCCCTGGTGGCGCAGCGGGTTAAAGCACAGCATTGAGAAGCTAAAGCCACGTCCGCATGAGTTCGATTCCCTCCTGCCCCGGAGTTGACCACATGGCGCAGCAGACCTCTCCTGACCTGCCCACTGCTCCCCTCAGCAGTGTACTTCGTCAGTCAGCCTGTTCTGCTCCCCACTCTGTCTCTGGTGAATCTTCTCACTGCCCCTGAGCCTCTGGTCTGTACCCCAGTTCTGTATGCACAAATAAATAAAAAAAAAAAAAGTTCACAGTGTAAAACTTGCTCCAATGTATATCCCAAGTGAAGACTGAGTTCCCTGTTGCAGTGGACTATCAACTTGAACTTGGCTTCAGATTCCTGCCTCTGTCTACACCAGGTATTCTGTGGCCCTAAGGCCATCTCCACAAGACAACTTCGTGAATCTACTGTTTCCTCCCCCTTGATTGCCCTTTTCTACCACCAGAAGATTCCTTGGAAGGGGAGAAGGAAGGAAAACAGAGGTACCCTGAGCCCCTGCTAAAGAGGCGTTTAACACAGAGACCTAGAAACATGCTAACCCTGGAGAGTGGGCAAGTGGAGAAGGAGCCAGGCTCAAAGGGAAGAACAAAAGGAAAACTGGAGGTGGGCAGGCAAACGATAAATTAGATTTGCACCTACTGATGCCATAACATATAGAGGGGCCACTGGAAAGCCTTGGTACGCAGACGGGCCTGGACCTTCTTTTCCAGACTCCTGCCACCTGGTTTCCTCACTTGTTTCTGTTTCAGGGCAGGATGTCAGGATGAAATGAGGAGCCAATGCTTTTTACAGGTGTCTTAACATCTATGAAGCACTTCTTGTGGATGCATGCACATGTGTCTCACCACTTTTTGGGTAGGTGTTATTTGACAAAGATCCTTTGTTTGATCAAACTTCAGGTCCGCTCCTGAATCTTATTTTAGGTCCATTATGCATTTCCATGTAATGGTTTTACATGGTATGGATTTTTTAAGAGGGCCCATCTCCAGAGCTGATGGTCCTCAGTCTCAGGTTCCTCATCTTACACTGTCCCCCAAGTGACATCTGGCTGGCTTGGCCTATCTTCTGCAAAAAATACTGGCAAGTGGATTTAACCAAAATTTGCTTTATTCCTGATGTTTCCTCTAGTAGTTTTCTACTCCCTGACACCCTCTTGGGCTCTGTTTCCCACACTATATTCAGAATTGAGCCTTTGAATGTAAAAGTCCTGAATAAAATCTGTTTTTTCCACTACTGTCCAGCTCTGGTTTTTCTTTGACATGTTACTCCCACTTTATGGATGAGGGAAACAAGGCTCACAAAGGCCATGACTTGCTTTGGGTGGCAGAGTTGAGATTCAGCTTCAGGTATCTTGATACCCAGTGGAGTCTTGGCCACAACTGCAGCCTCTTGATCACACTCTGCCTCTGGCCTCCTGGCATTGGAAAGTGGTAGTTATTTGTTAGGTCAAGAAGATGTCCGACTGTTAGTTTCACCTAACCCAGATGCTTTTTTTCTCCTCTCTATGTAGGAAATTGTAGGCCAGTGAGTCACTGAACAAACACAGTTCGATAGGTAGAACTCATGAAAAGACCTGACATAGAAAAATGACCCAGAAGGCCAAATTGGGCCTTGGGAGCTATGTGAATTCTCTTCAGTTTCTCCTGACCAGGTGCTATTTGTCTAAGAGCCATCTGAACCTTCATGACTTTCTCACACCCACAGAAGATTGGGATCAAGTCATTCATACAGTGGTGGAGGGACGATGGAGTTGGGGTGTGCTGCTTCTCTGTAATATTGGCATTATTGCTGGAAGATCCAGCCTTGGGTTTCAGTTATTATAATTGGACTCTTAGCTTTCAGAAGGTAAATAGCCAGTAAAGTGGTGGGGCCTTCATGGTCCCCTGAGATGGCACCACAATGTCAGCCAACTCCTTTTCTGTGGGCCAAGCATGCTTAAGCAGGGAATGTAGAATACTGATTCCTCATCCTGGGCTGTTTGGAGTCTGGGAGCCTGAGCAACCACTTTTGGAACCAATCACACCAGACCCCACACTCAGAGAATCAAATCTTGAAGAACCAGAAGCAGGGATTATGCTGCGGTAAAGGGTGGGGAAAGATCTCTGTTGTTTTCCTTCGTAGAGCTATAACAATGACCCTCTCTCGATTGCAGAACCCCACCTAGAAACCCAGACTGGTGTTCCTCTCCCTCCTTGGTTATACTTGTGAGTCCTAAGAAGTCCAGATAAGGTGACCTAGGCCCCATATTTCCAGGGACTGCCCCTACTTTATCCTAGCGTCATAGTTACTTCTACCCTCACTCCACAACCCACCCCAGGATACTCCGCTACTTTCCCAGAATGCCTTGGGTCCTCTGGACCCTGGTTCTTTTCTCCCTTTCCTGGAAAGAAGAAATCTGCCATCTGGTGAAGGTTGGCTCTGGTCTGGCACTGAGCACATGTCCTTAGCCCTTTCCAAAGCCATATAGTATTTCTGAGTTCTACCCTCAGCCTCTCCCCATGTTTTTTAGGCTCTCCTCAATTCTCAGTCTTTTCCTTTATTCATATAATTACAGATTCATCCCCTTGGTCTCTTTATTCTCCATTCTCCCCTGTTGTTTCTTCTGAAATGACCCAGTTACCTCCCACTGCAGCTGGGGACAGCCCTTGCGCAGGAAGGAGAGGGCCCACGTCCCCAGGCAAGAGGGTGGCCCATACATTTCCAGTGCATCCTGATTTCTATTTCCCCACAACCTTCTCTTAACCTTTCTGACTTGGCTCTAGCTAACTGAATGCAGGGCAATGGGTGTAATAGCGTTGGCTTTTTTTTTTTTTTCTGGTGGGGGAAGGGGGCGGAAACTGAGGAAAGAAAATACGGAGAAAGGATGATTGGCATGAGGCCCTGCCCTCTTTTGTCCTCTCCTGCTACTCTGGCCCCTCAGGGAAATACACCTGTTTCAGGCCAGCAGCTGGTGGAGACAGGTTCACCTCTGCTCCTCAAGCCCTGCTTCTGTGCTAAGGAGCTTCTCTAAAGGAGACTGAGGGACTTTCTGGAGCCATGTGGGTTTTCCACAGGGGGAGTGTCCCCTGGGTGCACCTGAGCTGCTTATGTTCCTGCCTCCTTTGGCTAGAAGTCCTAGGTAAGTGACACTGCTTGTGCAGCATTGTGGAGGCAGAAGTGGGGCTGACTTCAGGGAGTGTATCAAGAGCTAGGTCGGCTCTGGTAAATGGACAGAGATGGTATAATACATGGGGGTGAGAATTCTAGAGAGGCAGAGAAGAGGAGACAGCAAGACAAAGAGGGGGAGGAGTGGTGTGAATGGGTGTGGGAAGCAAGGCTTTGTTTTGTGATGAGATAGGACCAGAACTGTTAAAGAGAGAGATTGAAAGAGGAAAATGGGAAAGATGAATGATGGAGATGGAAGAAAAACATTTGAATATGTAAAGTCATTGGAAAAGATAGGTGAGAAACTGATACTGATTTATCAGCAAAATAAAGCAGAGGGAGGAGAAAATCAGAGAAGAGAGGCAGAATTGAAAGGAAGAGAAGAAGCAGACTGGTGTGGAGAAGAAGCAGACTGGTGTGCGATGAGGACAGTGGCTTCTTGCCCATAACACTGGGCTAAAAAACCTCTTCTTATTAATGCCCTCAGGGATACAATCATTGTCCCAATGTTGGCCTAGTCCTCTTCCAACCCCATTTTCCCTCTAAGCACAGAGTTGGGGTGGGGTGGAGAAGGCCAGTTGGAGAAGTTCTCCTGGTCCTCTCCAACCATCTCCCAAGCTGCCTCTCAGATTTTGGGACCATGTTGCATCCTGAAAGGTCAGGAACCAAGTGGAACCAAAGATAAGATAGTCACTGCTCCTTCCCCACCTCAACAGGCCAGGTGGAAGCTTTCACCAAAGGAATGATTTCTGGGGAGTTGGTCAGAGGAACATTTAAGAGACATGAAGCTGTAGAAGTGGAATTTTCTACTTTCATTGAAATATTTTTTTTTTAAAGATTTATTTATTTATACATACAGAACTGGGGTACAGGCCAGAGGCTCAGGGGCGGTGAGAGGCTTCACCAGAGACAGAGTGGGGAGCAGAACAGGCAGATCGACGAAGTACACTGCTGAGGGGAGCAGCGGGCGGGTCAGGAGAGGTCTGCCACACCATGTGGTCACCTCTGGGGCAGGCGGGAATCGAATTCATGCGGAAATGGCTTTTTAGCTTCTCAGTGCAGTGCTTTAACCCGCTGCGCCACCAGGAAGGGCCCTCATTGAAATATTTAAAGTCTTGGCTAAGACCAAATAAAAAAACCACCATCTTTCCAACACTTCTTCGCTCCTCTCCCCTCTGCCATTCCCATTAGACGTAATGGGCTAGATGGAGCCTAGATGGAGACTTTAGGGCCTGCAGTGGCTCCTGCTTAGTGCCTTGTCCTAGGGGTAAATAGAGGAAGGAGAGTCCATGGGTGTTGTGATCAGGACAATGGGGAGAAGAAGGCATGAACTTAAGGACAGTGGGGCCTGTCTTGGCTTTGCTGTTAACTAATCTGGTCCTTGTGACTAGGCCCATTATATACCTCCAGGCCTCATACCCCTATGGGAGTGCAGGGTGGTGAATGGCATGACCTCTGGCTTCCTTGGTTGTTAAGTTTTACCATTCTGTGGTTTAAAGTCAACACAAAAAATACTTGGTACCACCTCCACTCTCAGCTCCATGGCAGAATCGTTAAGCTCAATATGAACCAGAAGGCAGGGTCTGTGGAGAGAGGGGTAGCACCTGGGGTGGGAGTGAACAGGGCAAGCCAAGGTGGACAGGACTGGGGTATGTGCAAATGAAAGAGTGAAGGACCCTGAGGTGGAAGGATATCCCCAAAATGAAGATGCACTGGAGCACTGAGGTCCATGTGTGATTAAAGGGGGCAGAGTGGAGCAGGCCAGGAGGACGCGTGGGACTGGGATGGAAGGTGGCACCACAACCATATGCTTGAGCATCGAGAGAACCATGGAGAGAAACGTAGCGCCATCGAGATGGCAGTGAGCTCTCTACATCTGCCTGAGGAGCATCTGGGGAAATGGGTACTGGTCATCTCCAGTCCCTTGGATCCCTGAAGGGCAGTTGTGGATGACCTGCCCATATTTAAGTATAGGGTCTGTGTCCACACTGGCTGCCAGCAATCTCCCTCAACATGTGTCACTGTGGAGCAGAAGTCAGAGAGAGAAACCCCAGAATTTACAAGAAGGAGCTATGGGGTAAAGCCTTCCCTAAGGGAAAGCCCAGGCTTTCAAGGGTAGAAAGGGAAAAAGAGGGCTGGACAGAAAGTCAGCAGTGCTGGTAGCTTCCTGCAAGAATGACTCAGAAAGCAGCCTGGCAGCCGGGTTGCACCCCTTGCAGTGAAGAAAATAGGTAAAACAAGCCTGGGTCTCCAACACCACCAGGGGCTGAGAGGCTGCTGCTTGTAACCATGGGGGTTACCAAGAAGGTTTAATATATGCAGATTTCTCATATCACATCTGAGCTCTACTTAAGAGTATCTTGGTATACTGAGATCTCAACTGTGCATTTTCT